AAACTTCCCCATAAATACCCAAAAAGATGGATAAATAGCTTTTATTGCAGGATTATTTGTGGTGATGCAATGCTACAAGCAACTTAGGTTCCCTCACTATTGGACTAGATCAGTAAAATGTGGTATGTGCACACAAGTAAATATCAGATAGTAGAAAGGTATGAATCATATCTCTGTGTAACTGCATGGATATGCCTCAAAAACATAATGTGTAATAAAGAAAAGTAAGAATTAAAATGAGATTTATAGCTTAATACCATTTATATAGTTTTTTTTTAACCACATGCAAAAAGTGCTATTTTTTCACACATAAGAAACAAATTAGGAGGCATACATTAAATTCACAGGTGTGGATGCCCTCTAAAGTGGATTATTCCCAAATGCAAATAAGTATGTCACAATATCTTAAAACAAACACAAAATCAACAACTCTCCTTATTAACCACATCCCTGCAAACAACAACTGCATTTCTGTGCTTATTCACACAATCAGATTGTCTTTAATTAGTTTCAACCTCATCCCTCCCACCTCCACCAAGTTCTCCTTCCCTTGTTTTCTTCTGTACCTTGGACACACAGAACTAACTGAGTTGGTTAGACTCCTTGGTACAGAACACACTATCATCCTTGACTGCAATCAAGACCCCTCTCTAAATAATATATCTTTAAAATACGTCAGGCACAGACAAATACAGAGAATAACATAACAAATATGTGTGAGACCATCATGCATATTTAAGTTTTAATATTTTGCCATAGTTACTCTATAGATTGTTAAAGAGAAATACACGTTTTTTTTACCCTTCCCCATACAAAGATAACCACTGGTGACACCAGGTCCAGCTGCAAGAACAAGGTCCCCAAGGTGAGAAGTGATGAGACTCAGAGCAGAAGTTGGGGCTGGGAGGCGTGGCCTTACTCCCACCACCAATGATACGAGCTAACAGTTACATAGTGCCTGGCACTGTTCTCCTCTGTACATGTATTAAACCAATGAATTCTCAGTACCATCCTATGCTGTAGCAACCATTTTATAGATAAGGAAGTGAAAGTGCCTAAAGTCACACACAGCTAGTAGGAAGCAGAACCAGGATTGAAAATTAGGCAGTCTGACTTTAGAGTTCATGCACTAAACCTCTGTTATACTGTCTTAGAAATGTATTAAAAGAATGAGGAGCTTTTCTTTTTCCTTTTCTTCAGTTACCTCTAGTATTAAAAAATATACAGCCTTCAATCTCATTAAAAAAATTTACCCTGGGTCTCGATCTAGGAGCCAATTCTTCTGCCTGGTTGTTTTGCATTGTACTACTTGAATCTGGAATCATTTTCCTCCATATAGCCCTTTGAACCAGATTTTTAATTTGTCTAGTGTTTTTTTTTATCCAAAAAGTTTTAAGCTTAAAATATTTTTCCATTATACAGGGTTTATTGATTGTTTTCTCAAGCATCATACTAACTTGTTATACCCTTCAAGTGACTGTAAAGTTTTATACCCTATAAAACAGCTAACTATGAATACCTTTTGTATTTGTAGTTCCTAGAAACCTTTAGGAATAACAGCATTCTCTTTAATGACTAATTATCCCAAATCTGATGCCTGTGTAATGCTATCCAATGAGCAGCTGGCTTCATATAAAGAGAGACTAAGAGCTCCTTTCTGTCTTGTTCATTTAAAATCATTTGCTTCTTATTTAATATCTGCAAAAACGCAGTCACATCATAGTAGAATTTGCTGTTGTAAATTTTGGATTGTTTCCATGGGTTCCGCCTTACATCTGCATAGTGTTTAAAGCCAATGCTTCCTTTCTTTTTGTAGGCATTCAGGGCCTTTTGCCTCATAATCCAATGTCATGCTGAATGACAGAAAATTGAAGTTGAATTATTTAGCTATAGAGAAGGGCTGCACAGAACAATACACTTATTTAAGAACTCCTTGCCTCAGGAACTGAAGGAGCTGTCTTGTGCAGGTGGCTTAATCTCTCTGCTGCTTTTCCTGTGTTTCTTTACTTGTTAAAGAGAGGAACTGGGTACTTTGCTTCCAAAAACAAAAAGACTCTACTAGTCTACCAGAACCAGTAATAAGCCAATAGGATATTTGTGCCTTATGCAGAATAGTAAAGATATGTACTATGTATTTTTAAAATAATTATTAGCACTTCTTTATTAGAGAAAATATAACCAAAAGTAAGAAAACAGCCATGGAAAATATATTAATCAACTCCTAATTATACATTGATGGGCTGTTTATGTTATGGATTATTCATAATGAATCTACTTTTCTCAATTCTATGTGGTATCTTCTCTGCTTATATAAAGTGATTTTTTTGTTGACATTACGTGTATTTCCCACTTCTTTTAACTTCATGCCACTGCCTTCAGAGGTTTCTGTATTTTAAACTAAAACATTGAGTTTCCTTTCCCTGTAAATATATAGTGCTGCTGTAAATATATAGTGAATAATTTGAATGAAGTGGCTTCTCTACTCATTAGGTACTGTGGATTAAAAACTAAGTTATCTATGCTTAGCTTGAAATAAGGGGAAAGGGAGCTTTAGGTAGGTAGGCAGAGAGAATAATACTGGAAACTATAACTTTTCCTTTTTTGAGTTGGGTCATGATTGTGTAGGTTATTTTCCTTAAAATCAAGTAAATTCTGGAACTATGATGCACAAGTATATTCAAATATGAGCCTAACAATACTTTCCAGTGCTATAAAAATGGGTTTTGAATTAGCTTCCTTTATTACTGGATCATATTCTACTAATTATCAGGTAACTGAGAATTAACTGCATAAAATTCATATATCAAGTACCAGTTCTTTCAAGTTTATTTTCAAGATAATCAATTCTTCCTCTTACAATAACTGAATTTATAAATGATAACACAAAATTTTATCACATGTGCTCAGACCCATGCTTCATAGTTTAAGATTATATCCTGCCCAAAGCACAGAGGGATATTTACTAGGAAGCCATAATTGTCCTCTTGTACGGCATTCTCACAAAGTCCATCACAGTAATACCATACTTGCCTTAATGTTGTCCATTAATTATAATATATTAATTTTAAACTCTCAAAAATTAAAATTAAACCGACCTCTTGGAGTTAGACATTCCACCAATTTAGTACATATTTTATGTAAAATAATCCCTTTCATTTGTCTTAGGTGTACCTCTTTAAAGATTCTGAGATATGCTAAACAGATTTATAGCCACACTAACCACACTTTCACAGACAAATATCATGTCTCCCTGTGCTTTTTCTATTTTGAGAGTCCAGGTAAGAGAGAAAGTAAGGACTTTGGGATGAGGCCAATCTGAGTTTGAATCACAAGATCACTTCTAACTAGCTATGTGACCTTTGATAATTTAGTTAATTACTTGGGCTCTTACAGTCTTCACTGGTAAAAATAAAACCTGTATGTTTTTCATGGCTGTTATGACTACGAATCAAATGATACAGGAGATAGCACTTTGCACAGTGCCTGGACATAGAACACCATCAACAAACATTAACTTCTATCCTTATTTATTCTTCAGAGGATGGGTCAAAATCTCTTGGTTGTGCCTGTGTGCATAGAGCTCCTCTGCAAGCCTGCATGAACTTAATAAAGCAACACTTTACATAATACTCATAAGAGACTGCCTTGTTGCAAAAGGTTATACCAAAGATAAATTCTCCATTGTATGTAATTTTATCTTTTCTCTCATATAATGGTATCACTTGATAAATGGAAATGATATACCCCACAATTGTCATCAATCAAGTAAGTCCATATTGAACGTTATTTCAAGGGACCAGCCTCTCAAATTAATCTCCTCAGCTGAGTTTAAAGCCTTCAGTCAGTTTGACTGCTGGCTAATGCATTTACTCATTGTAAGATACCAGGCAAGAGACTAAGAAAGGATCTCATTTTTTTTCCTTCTGAAAAATGGGGCAATTTGAGAGGTGAAATTAAATAATGTATGTGAATGTACTGGATTAGCATAAGAATTTTACCAATATCTAGTAGGTTCTAATTAAAACATTTGTTTTGAGTGAATTTATTTTTGATTTAAGGAACTGGCTTGAGAAGGCAGAGAGAAGATATATATAGAAATTTTATGTATTTGTTTGGATGCATAAAGGTTTTAAACTTTATTGTGAAAAATGGTATTAAAACGTGAGGAGTTGGAGCATAGAAATTTTACGATTCCAATGTTTTAAACTTATTTTCTTCATAGAAAGCAGTTAGTCCATCTGTGTAAGTTTGTTTTCCACTTTATTCCCAAAAAGAGCGCCAACAAGTGTCACCACTGGGACTGGGGTTCGGATCACAGTTCCCACACACAGGCCAAGGGCAGGACGCAGATCATTCAAGCCCTTTGTTCTTCTGCTTTAGTTTCAGTTCTGCATCCACACACATGTTAGACACGGCTGCTTGAATAATCGTCCTCAAACACTGCTTGAATTCCCCAGTTCAAGTCTCTATGGAAGCCAATTTTCTGCTTGTATTTTCTTGGCTTTGGACATCATTAAAATGCCTATTAGATGCTACCCAGAGTTAACAGATTCTTTACTGGGAGCTTTGCACATGGTTTGTCTATTTCATTTCTACTAGGAGGCCTCAGCAATACCTCTCAGTTCCCGGCCACAAGAGCTAGCCCTAGCTCAGGCAATCGAGTGTTTCAGAAGTGAGTCACATGATCAGAAGTTCATATGTGTGTCAGCTACGTAAATTTCCCTTGGAAACATTTGTAAAATTTAGCCCATAAACTGTTTGAAAATGAGCATGAGGTTGGGGGCTGAAATAGGCCAGTAAATTGGGTCTGCCCCAAACCCATCAATTACATGGGGTTTCAGAGTAGGGATGAGCTGCATATGGTCATCCAGGCAAAGTGAAATAAACAGGTGCATTGTTCTTCAGGAGTTGAGTGGCATCTTTAAGAATGTGGTTTACTCTATGAAAATATCTGAACACTTAACTTGTACTAATCAGATGGAAACATTGTGTCATTTCAGATTTACAATGTCAAGTAGAGGCCCTTGGGCTCAGACTTCAGAAGGCCACGGCCAAGTTGGACAACTATAAAGAAAAACTCATGTAAGATGGGGAACATTAAACCGCCTATAAGAATTTAGAAAGACCCCCAATGTGTTCTTTTTGACTTTTGGCAGTGGGTATGATATACTGCTGCTTTTTTCAGCTACTTTTCTGGCATACATTGTATATTGAAGGACCAATGTTTTTAAATACATGAAGTATTTCTTTCCCTCAGTAAGAAACTTACACATCTGTATTAAAGCTTTCTCTAGTTAGTTGTTCAAATGTAGTAGTGTAATGTGAAATATTTTCTGAACTTTTTCTCTTATTAATGTCTCTTTGTTATCTGTCCGGAAAAAAACTACATTGAAGTTGTTCCTTAAAATTTCCAATTTTAGGTTCAAAAGATAGCTGAGTGTCTTTGAAATGCTGGAGTACTTATACTTTATATGTTGGAAGAAACTATTGGGAAACAAATGATAAGAAAATGCCCTTTTAAAATATCCAGAGCACATTTCTTTTAAAAATGAATTTATTTCTGAAGTTCCAAAAATTACTTTAAAGTATAAATATAGTACATCTATAATTATACACTAAAATAGAACTTATGTAATCTTTGAAAAGGAAATAAACTCTCAACTTTGTGGTATATAATCTGGTTGCTCTGGTTTTTAGTTCCTATATTTTAGAAGGATGAACCTAATAAGAAATATAAATATTTAGAATGCTCAGCAATCCAATGTCGTGTCTACTATGGACTACTCCTAAGGACAATGTGTTTAATAAAATTCTCAATACAAAGAAAAAAGTTCCAAAAATGCCCTATCATATTAAAGTGTATGGATTATTTGTCAAAAACTAATTTGTTCTAGAAAAATATGCATGCTTCAGAACACTGTGGTTAGTAGTATAGTAGATGCAATAGTTCACCTATCTGTGGGATGGGGTTGAAGGAACGAGTGGACGGGGGTCCTTGGATGCCCACTGGGCCCAGGAAGTTTCAAGAAGAAACATGAAAAAGTGAAACAAGGTGGTGATTGCCAGGAAAAAAAAATCGCTCCTACCCTCTAGTAACGCCAAGCAGAGAGCTCTGGCCATGCAGAGGTTTCACGTGGAGGGTACCCTCATCAGCCGCAGTGGCTGCTGTGTGGCTTTGGCCCCTTGAAGCTCAAGAGGTGAAGAGGGCACAGTCTGGGAATAGGGAGGTATTGCTGGTACTCAGTTAAGCTAAAAAGGAATTTTTGGCCAGGCCAAGACTCAGCAAATACAGTAGCGTCCTGGCAAGTTAGGAGAAAAGCTAATCACAGTACTAAGCATACTGAGGAAGAAGAATAAAGCTCATTGGTTGTGACATGGATTGATTTTTACTGAATAAGTTTGCATGGAATTCTCTATATATACAAAGAGCCTACCTATTTAAAATTAACACGTTTTGTGGTATGTTTTGTAATCATATTTTTAACATACTTTGTGAGTGCTGGGAAGTTGTAAGTATCAGAATAGATTGGGGTTGGAGGGAGAAATATGCCACCTCTCTAAAGGCCATCAAGTGAATTACCTGGAAAGAATTGCTATGCAGTTGCAGAAATGATGATGCTGTTGTTTCAGTTTATAAAACTGGTGCTTCCTGTCTACATAAGAACTTAAAATTAGAACATGGGCAGGTTATCTATTTCTAGAAAATGTGACATATGAAAGCTGGAGCCACCTAACTGGCCCCAACGGCTGGAGACCTTGCTCTGTGCTGCCGTTCCTTGCTCTTCCATCTCTGCTCCGTCTGCCTCCTTGGTGCCCAGGCTGAAGCTGAGTAGGGTAGGCATTTGGGATCAGAGCCTGGGACCCATCTTGGAGTGCTCAGAGCTCAGGAGATTCCCCAGTAGTGTATAAGCACTACTTTATGTGTGGGTTAAAACCAAATTTGCAAGTTGGCCATTGTCTTATGGTAAATTAAATTTGAAGTCAAAATAATTAACTCAAAAATTGTGACATGCAATTTGTTAATAAACTGGAGATTTACTAGACACACCCAACCCTTTTTGAACTTCCAGAAATTGGAAGGTGCTGTGAAATCGTTTTTTTATATTTTTAATCCTCATTCTTTGTGGGGCTGGGAATGAGTTTCACCTCTCCAATTTAAGATAATCCTTTAGTTTAAAGATTTTAAAATATTTGGATGTAAGTTTTGTGGATTCTTACTTAAGGGGAAGAGGCAATTTTTAAATGGATGAAATTCAGGTTCTTTTTTTCCTGAAGTTTTTAAGAAAATATTCTCCAAGTTTATAAGAACTTGTTAAGAATTGATGACAGAGACTGTATGAGAAGGATGCTAAGGTCGCAGAGGTAGAGTGGTTCCAAGTGACCCCACCGGCAGCTCAGCAATGTCCCTGAGGATCTTGTTCTCTGTTGCCCTCCTGCTGCCCTCAGCATTGGTTTCCCCCAAGGCTGAGTCCCTTGCAACCAGAGATGGCTGCAGTTCCTGGTTCCACATCCAAACATAACCCCTCCGAGAGGAGGAGCCTTTCTGGTGTTCCCGTAGAAGTGAGATCGAAAGTGCCCAGAAGCCACCAAACTGTCCTCTCCTTACATCTCTTTGGCTGGAACCCTTTACATTCCTCTCCTAAGAGGATCACTGGTCGGGGGACCAGGACTACCACAACAGCTTAGACCAAGCAGGATTTATCCTGAGAACAGATGGCAGTGGAGCTCTGACGGCCAGGAAGAGAGCTGGAGTCCATGTCCAGAAGGTAACCAGTAATGTTTGCAGAAGCGGTGGAGTGTTAGTGATGCTCTGACAGGTTGATGATGAAACTTCCTGAAATTTCAGTTGTGCCACAATATCTAGATTAATTTAGGGAAGACCTCCCTGAGGTAATGAAAAATATGGATGCTATGAAATGTGACTATTACTTTTAAATATATATAGAGAGATATATAATCTTAGATATATAGTTTTATTACTTTCATATTTATATATGTAAGTCTTTTAAATGTATATCAGGATAAACAAATAAATAAGACTAATAAGAAAGACTTCTATAGATACTGAGATATTTTTAGGAATTCCTGGAAGAGAATATATGGGAAAGATTATAAAATGTATCAATTGTATGAAGGAATAACCTAGAGGAAAACAAGTTGTGTGGTGGGCATGGACAGGTAGGCCTTTGTTTGGAATCAGTTACCACAAAGAGAAGGGAGTGGGATCTGGCAAATGATCAAAACAGTGGTTCTCAAAATCCAGTCTGTAGAAGAATGCTGGGAGCTTCCTGAGCCATGTATTACAGTACGACCTCCCCACAGTTCCAATCCCAGGGTCTGTTTCTGGGCTCCATGCCCACAGATGTCCTGATTTTACGCCTGGGTCTGGGGTGGCTCCAAGCAATCTGCCTTTCTAATGCCTTCCCTGCATAGTTCTGATGCGGGTGGTCCAGTGAAGCCCACTCTGAGGAATCATATTTGGAATATTACAGTCAAGGCCTCTCCACAAATCCGCTCCCTCAACAGGCCCTGTATGAAGCAACATTTGCACCCAGAATAAAGCAAGGCGTCCCGGACTGGAGCTGCGGAACCCAGCAGCTTCTGAACCAGGAGAGGCCAGGGGTCCACACCCCAAGACAGGCTTCACCATTCCCTGCCCCTTTATCACAACCTTCCAGAACAGCCCACAGGTAAAACAAACAGCAAAGTAGTCAGGTAAACAGGCTCTGAAGGCTGAGGGTGAATACCCAACCAAAGGTGACCAGGTGTGTGAGAAACACCTTCCCCAGCCCCCACCAAAAATGGCTCTGAACCCACACAGTAAGAGTTTAAAGCCCAAGATTGTTAAGTAGCAAACAGAAGGTGTTAAGATAAATTTTCAAAGTTAAGATATTCTCCAAAGTCCAAGATTGTAACCATAAAAAAATATGTTATTATGGGAGAAAAGCTATTAGGAATTTGAGAGATTAAAGATATGATTAGAAAAATTATTCTATTCATGTTAAAAGAGCACATGAATGTCTACACATGTATGTGGGTTTAAATGCATTGAATCAATAGGAGGATTACAACAGTTCCCTGGGGAAGTGAGAGTGGGGGTGGGGTGTAGAGACATATTTTACTCTATATACTTACAGAATGTTAAATGGCTTACAGCATGAATGCATTCAGTTTCACGTACATAATAAAAAGAACAAAATTTACTTAAAATGTTTTATGATTCATTAGTTACTAATGAATATGTCTAAAGTGGTCATATAAAACATATTTCTTAATTTAGAGACCTTTGGAATCTAATTATACATTAATTTTATTAGCAGCAACTGCCTCCTCATTTAACTAACAATTTGAGGAATAATCAGGTTCTGACCATCATAAATATAATTTGTAAAGCTCTTATGTAACATCTCTGCAACATTTGACCTAGTTAATTTGTCTGTTCTTGGAACATCATATATTGTTCTCCTGATTTTTCTCTTACCTCTCTGGCCATTCATGAAAACTTTTTGCCTTGGCAAGCAAGTGGCCAGGTGGCATTCCACTGTCAGAGTATGGATTCACTTTTCACATGATCCTAGATTGAGCAGGCTAGATTTACTTCATTCACTCATTCAATACACAATGTTATTGAGAAGTGATTATGTGCCATGACCACTTACAGGCACCAGATATTGAAATACAGCAAGATCAACAAGTTCCAGTAGGGCTGTTTAGGTAATTTAGGTAATGTTAAGTGCTACAAAAATATAAAGCAGGGATAGGAGATTATGAGTGATGGGAAGGGGTGGTATACTTTTGAAAGAGTGACATCCCTGAGCAGATGGTCTTTGAGTTAAGATTCAAGTAAGGAAAGGAGCTAGCAGTGCTAGCACACTAACATCTGGAAGCGGAGAGGTCATGGACAGGGCCCTAAATTCTTGAGAGTGAGTTTTACAAGTTCAAGAAACATGAAAAAGGCCAGTTGTGGAAGACAGAATAATGGCTCCCAAAGGTTTTCTGGTCTTAACCCCTGGAATATGTAAATACATTACCCTACATAACACAAGGGATTTTGCATATATGATTAATTTAAAGATTTTGAG